TTAATGTGGAAATTTTGACCTCCTTCCATGAATCAAAATGTTCTGAAAGGCATCTAACATGGTAAATCTTTTCCAGAAGATTTGTATCTAAATGGTGACTCCTTTCTAGAAGGTTTTAAATTTACTTTCTCCAGATCCTTCAGAGGAAACACTTCTGTGGCAGCTATAACCTTAGAAAATGTATTTCTTAAATAAGGGGACTTGAAAGTCAAAATTATTCCCTGATCCCATGGGCTGCAGAATGGATGTTGTGTTAGCAGGGATAAAATAACATTCAACTCAGAGCTCTTGGGTGACCAGATGCATTGTTAATGAGCAGTAACGTTTTGAAAAGAGTCTTTTTTTCTAAGCAGCGGGTCTCAAAAGCGTGCTTAAAATATTCAGTAGACCATGGTATAAACTGATGTGCTGTTGTCCAGGCTTTGTCTTCCATTGATAGAGAACAGGCAGAGTAGATTTAACAGAATTCTTCAGGGTCCTAGGATTTTCAGAATGATCAGTGAGCATTGGCTTCTAGTTAAAGTCACCAGCTGCATTAGCTCCTAACAAGAGAGTCAGCCTGTCCTTTGAAGCGTTGAAGCCAGGCATTGACTTCTTTCTAGCTATGAAAGTCCTAGATGGCATCTTCTTCCTACAGAGGCTGTTTCATCTGCACAGAAAATCTGTTGTTTATTGTAACCACCTTTATCAGTAATCAAAGCTAGATCTTCTAGATAACTTGCGGCAGCTTCTCCATCAGTACTTTCTGCTTCCCTATGCACCTTTATGTTATGGAGACAGATTCTTTCCTTAAACTTCATGAAGCAACTTCTGCTAACTTCCAACTTGTCTTCTGCAGCTTCCTCACGTCTCTCAGCCTTCATAGAATTGAAGAGAGTTGGGGCCTTACTCCGGATTAGGCTTTGATTTAAGGGAATATTGTAACTGGTATGATTTTCTATATAGACCACTCAGATTTTCTCTGTATCAGCAATAAGACTGTTTTGCTTTCTTATCATGCCTTCATACACTGGAGTAGCACTTTTAATTTCCTTCAAGAACTTTTCCTTTGCATTCACAATTTCATTAACTGTTTGGTGCAAGATGCCTGTCTTTGGACCTATCTCAGCTTTTGTCATCCCTTCATTCAGCTTAATAATTTCTAGCTTTTGATTTAAAGATGTGTAACTCTTCCTTTCACTTGAACACTTAGACATCATCATAGGGTTATTAATTGGCCTAATTTCAATATTTTGTAGGGGATATGGAGGCCTGAGGACAGGGAGAGAGACAGGGAATGGTTGGTCAGTCAGTAGAGCAGTTAGAACACACACAACATTTGTTAAGTTTGCCATCTTGAATGGGTGCAGTTTGTGGTGCCCCAAAACAATTACAATAGTAACATCAAAGACCACCGATCACAGATCACCATAATAGATATAAGAATGATGAAAATGTTTGAAATATGTGAGAATCACCAAAATGTTACACAGAGAAAGAAAGTGAGCACATGCTGCTGGAAAAATGGTTATCAATAGAATTGCAAAAGGGAGGGTTGCCACAAATCTTCAATTTGTGAAAAACAGAGTATCTGTGAAGCATAATAAAGTGAGGCACAATAAAACAAGGTATGCTTGTACAAACCAAAGAAAAACACACAATTAGTGGAGAAGAAAATAAAAATTAGGAAAACAAAGACTCAGCAACATTCTTTTGCAGTTTTAGATTTATCTCTGGCAGCAAGAAAATTGCCAGGATTCAGGCAACCCATGAAGTGTACTTTTCCAGTGATAAAATTCACCTGTCAGATGAATACATTGGGCATCTTGGTGGGAACTACTGAACTTTTAAAAGATAATTTGCAAAAAAAAAAAAAAAAAAAAGTAAAATAATGACTCTCAAACAGATATAATACGAACACATCAGTCATTTTATTTTTATTTATTTATTTATTTTCAAATGGAGTCTCACTCTGTTGCCCAAGCTGGAGTGCAGTGGTGCGATCTTGACTCACTGCAACCTCTGCCTCCCAGATTTAAGTGATTCTCATGCCTCAGCCTCCCAAGTAGCTGCGATTACAGGCATAAGCCACCATACCTGGCTAATTTTTGTCTATTTTTAGTAGAGACGGGGTTTCACCATGTTGGCCAGGCTGGTCTTGAACTCCTGACCTCAAGTGATCCACCCGCCTCGGCCTCCCAAAGTGCTGGGATTACAGGTGTGAGCCTCTGCACCCAGCCATTTTATTTAACTCATTAAATAGGTGAACCAGACAGATGCTATCACCTGTTCAAAGGAGAATCCAAAGAGCAGACATGTTTACAGATCAGAAATATTGAACTTGCAAATGGTGCAAAACTGGCATTTTTGTTGTTGTTTAATTTATTATTATTATTATTATTATTACTATTGCAATGGAGTCTTGCTCTGTCACCCAGGCTGGAGAGCAGTGGCGCAATCTCAGCTCACTGCAATCCCCGTCTCCCGGGTTCAAGAGATTCTCCTGCCTCAGCCTCCTGAGTAGCTGAGATTACAGGCGCGCCACCACGCCTGCTAATTTTTGTATTTTTAGTAGAGACGGGATTTCACCATGTTGGTCAGGCTGGTCTTGAACTTCTGACCTCGAGATCCGCCCGCCTCAGCCTCCCAAAGTGCTAGGATTACAGGCGTGAGTCACTGCCTGCGGCCAAAACTGGCTTTTCCATAGAGGTGGAGAGTTCACCCCCCATCCGGGTAGAATTATTTCACAAGTCCATAGACAAGAATCATTTGCACTGCCATAAGCACCCTGCAAGTTAACTTTAATCTTTGCAATAGTCTAGGTCCAGATAAAGGCAAATATCTTTTAGGATCAGATAAACCCCCAAATTCCAACACTGCATGAAAAGATATCTATTAATTTATTTTACTTATTTAAAAATGTTACTTATTTTAAAATGTTACATTGCTCCTTACCTTTTAGGATATGCTAAAGGAAAAAGTTTCTGGACATTCACAAGCCCTAAGTTCTGGCCCACTGTTAACCATTCATTCAAAATATTTTTACTAATATATAGTAAATATATATTTTATTTCATATACTATATATTAAATATATATTATAAAATATAATATATACTTAGCACAGCACTAGGTCAAGTAAATTTTGGAAATAATGAGTCATGGTCTTTCCTCAGAAGTTATTTACAATCTCATTATAGAGACAAGACATACAGTAAACTAGTCAATTAATTTAAGGAACTACAAAATTGTGAGTACAACTAGAAAATAGGGCAGTATAAAACAGAAATACAGTCTTTCTCCCTTATTTGTGGATTCCATATTTGCAAATTTGCCTACTTGCTAAAATTTATCTGTAACCTCCATGTATTCTCGGACATGTACAGAGCAGGGAAAATTTTTAATTGCCCAAAGTGCACATTCCCAGCTGAGGCTGAACAAGGCATCCTCTGCCTTCTTGTTTCAGCTCTCATACTATACCATAAACAGTGTCCCTTGTTGCCCGGGCTGGAGTGCAGTGACACTACATTGGCTCACTGCAGCCTCGCCCTCTCGGGCTAAAGTAATCCTCTCACCTCAAACTCTCGAGCCACCATACCCGGCTAATTTTTGTACTTTTAGTAGAGACGGGGTTTCGCCATGTTGTCCAGTGTGATCTTAAACTCCCCAGCTGAAACAATCCAGCCGCCTTGGCCTCCCAAATTGCTGGGATTACAGGCATAAGCCATCAGGACCAAGTGTCCTTTTCACATTCCATTTAGTGATACGTTTTTCACGTTTTTGTACTTTTTGTTGATGTCGCTGTTTAAAATGGTCCCCAAGCATTGTGCTGTATAGTGCTCCTAAGCACAAGAAGGCTGTCATGAGCCTTGCAGAGAAAATAGCAGTGTTATAATGCTGTTGACTGAGTTCAATGTTACTGAATCAACAATATATATTAAATAAGATGTCTTTAAGCGGAAACACATACATAACAAAACTGTGTATAAAGTTGATGAAAATGCGACCAGAGGCTTACTGGATCCTAATCCTGTATTTCCCTTAGGAGCAATGATTCAGTATTTACTAATTCAGTGTTTCCAGCAACGTTACAGAACCTAACTACTGTAAATAACAAGAATCAATTACATACTGACGGAAAGGGTTTTTTCCAAATACACTTGATTTCCTTTTAAGCATCAGGGGTAAGAAAAGCCTTCCCAAGAAGCTACCACTGTTTCAAAGAGCCTATAAAAGCAGTGCTCCTGCCTTCTAGTATCCTTTTCCTCTCTACACTTTATTCTTTCTCGGTTTCTTTCTGTTTCTTGCGGGGTCTCCACTTAAATAATGTCTTCCAACAATCTACAGTCCTATACTACATTTAATAAAGGTGGACACACAGGACATACACGTACATTTTAAAGTGAGAGCTATGGCTGTGCTTCCGCAAAATTAATTGCAAAATTCTGTGGTACCTCAGTTCCATGGGCAACCAGAGGATGCGTTGTTCAGCCTCAGCTGGGAATCTGCAGTTTAGGCAATTAAAAATTTTCACTGCTGTGTACACGTTATTTCCTCAGCTAGTCCTGTTAAGCAAGTTTATTTCTGCCAGGCGCAGTAGCTCACTCCTGTAATCCCAGTACTTTGGGAGGCCGAGGTGGGTGGATCACTTGAGGTCAGGAGTTCGAGACCAGCCTAACCAACATGGTGCAACCCCGTCTCTACTAAAAATACAAAAATTAGCCGGGTGTGGTGGCTCATTCCTGTAATCCCAGCTACTTTTGGGTGGCCGAGGCAGCCAATCCGGGAGGCGGAGGTTGCAATGAGCCGATATCATGCCATTGCACTACAATCTGGGCGACAAGAGTGAAACTTCGTCTCAAAAAAAAAAAAGAAAGAAAGAAAGAAAAAGGAAAAAAAAGTTTATTTCATTCTGTTCCTTTAAGACGAAGGTCGGGTGTTTTGCCCTCTTCAGAAATGGTTGCTCGCGCTTCCCACGCTCTGCGCATGCTCTTTGGGCAGAATTCCGGGTTAAGGCATTCAGGGACTCTCACTGCGCAAGATGGAGAGTAGGCCGGCCGGCTGCGAGACTGCACCTCCCAGCATGCCTTGCAGCCGCGACTGGAGTCGGTACTTAGAGTGATGGGGTTCCCTAGGTACTTTAGGCCACCGCATCGGTTTAGAGATTGAGGTGGAACCCGGGGCCTGGGAACTGGACGCACGCGGAGGGCGAAGATGGAAGCCTGGCGCTGCGTGAGGAAGGGCTACGGCCACTGTGTGGTGGGAAGAGGCCGGTCAGTAGGGCTGGGTAGTTGGAGGGAGGAGAGGGGGCGGGCGGCCTGAGGGCGCGGGCGGGCGTCCGGGACTAACCCGGGGCGGGGCGGGCTAGGGGAGGAAGGAAGAGGAAGAGGGTCTGGGCGATGGTGTATCCGGGACGAGCCTCCAGAGACCAAGAGGGATAGGTAAACCCGGCGAGCAGCCACCCGCACGCTGGGCCAACGAAGTCTGGGGTCTTGGCGCGGAGTTCCTGGGCCGCTGGCCAGGCTTGCGCCGGTGGCTTTGGATCCCTGGCCCGCTTCCCCCGCCCAGCCTCCAGAGCAGCGCTGGCCTGCTCCCCACACTCCGCAGCACCGTCCCGGGAGCCGAGCGTCGGCGGGGAGGCCGCCTCTCCGCAGTAGGTCTCGGCGTCCTGATGCCCTGGAGGCGCGCGTGTGGCACACGCCCAGGAGGGGCTTGATTTTTGTTGATGTGTTAGTGTCTCTCAAACTTTAGTCACTTGTATGTCATCCCTACTGTTATGGCCAAGTTCTTGTTCCACGTGTTTTATTTACTGGATATTTTTCTTTAAATTGACTCAGTTTTTTAAAAAAGCACTTCAGTAGGTGCGGCCCACATTAGCTTCGCCCTAAGCAGTGTCAGCAGTCTTGGATTTGATGTGCGATTATGTTTTTTCCTAATAAACTAACAAATATTTAGATATTACAATCAAGTAATTTAATTGTGTACTCTATGAAACCGACTCGTGTACCACCCACCACGCTTTGGAAACACAGCATGTATTATTGCATAAGTGATGGGGATTTGGTTTTAACTCCCATAGGCCTGGGACTTCATGGTAATTCAGTTCAACAATGTTTCCTGAGTACCAGCTGTTTGCCAGGCACTGTGCTAGGCACTTGTGAAGAGAACGGAATTAAAATGAATAAGATGGTTCTGGCCCTGAAGGAGCTTAACATCTTCAGAGAAAAAAAAAAGTCTGAATAAATAACTGCAAATATAGAGAATAACTGTTGTAGTACAAGTATTGTATTTCAATACAGTGGCTTATTGGGATAGAAAATGCGTGGACCATGTACCCAAATTCCTATGGCTTTCAGAGTTATCACAAAGCAGTGTAAGATACCCATGTTTTATGCCTTTAAAGATTTACAATTAAGTTGATTTTAGAGAACAACTAGGGAATACTTAAACTGTAAAAATATATAATAAAAATTTAAATGCTGTTAAAACGAAAATAACAGCGTATAAAGTTAAATAACAGTAAATGCGACTTAAACAAAATTCCCTTAGGAATGGGAGCGCACATTATTGATGCTGTGGTAGAAATGTGGCTGTTAAGAATTTTGGAGGAAAGAATAGAAGTCCTCAGAATCTTAACATTTTGCCAAAGTAGTGTAGTGAGAGGAACATGGTGCTTTATTAAGCGGAAATGTCTCCTGAGAGCCTGAGAGCAACATTATCTATTAAAAATGTTAGCGCCGCTTTGGAGATATTTTGGATGGTGGGTTAAATTGAAGCTGTTGGTTTGGAGTGTTGGTGCGTTCTTAGTAATCCCCATCGTCTTTCATTTCCCCCAAGGAGAATCATGCTTAAAAAAGAATGGAAAAATAAATTACCCACCCGTTGATTAGTAAGAGAAGTAGTTTTGTGAATTTATGAAGTTGTGGATAGGCTTTTGTTTTCCTAGCTTATACAGGTGTTTGGAAAAATCTGCCCTTGGTATAAAAAACTGTTCAGAAACTTGTTATCACTCCACGTGGGAGGAGAGATTTACTTTGATTGTAGTGTGGTAAGAGTTCCTTATTCGGTTTCAGTATAATATTTGTTGTGTATTTTATTTTCTCATTGAGTTTTTTAGGTGCTTGAAAGCTACTCAGAATATCATTTTGATAGTTGATTCATCTCTCAGTTGAACTATGTACGTTTTGAGGGGTATGTGGTGTTTTGGGAGCCTGGGAGGCATGCTGTGTTAAGTATTCAGAATACCATGAATGGTTTTTTAGGACGAGAGTCTTGAGATAGTGATGCTAATAGGTAAATCATGGGTGGTTTCCCCTTCATCCTTCACAGATTTAGAAGTCAGATTTTAAATATTAGACATTATCTTCTCTTGAGGAAATAGGCTTAGATTTTGTAAACTATAGCTGAACAAAAAGTGGTGCCTCAAGGAGTGTATTTATTTCTTTTAGATACCCCATGTTTCCCCATCACTCGAGGAGTCTGGGCAGAGACTGGACTACACCGTGGGAGAATCTACAAAGGTGTTGCTGGAACAGACATATTTCTAGTTGTATGAGGTGGCCTGGACATTACTATCAAGCTCCTTACCCATACTTCAGTAGTAGGCATTTTTCACTAAATTGGAGACCACCCTGTTTGTTTGAGTCTAGAACTCAGTTCCAGTACTGTAACTGGAGACCTGACAACCTGAGCCAGACATCTTTGATTCATCTCTCTAGTTACGTCATGAACGCTGAGGGAGATGAGCCTTCATCAAAACGAAGAAAACACCAAGGTAAAGGTGACATTTATCTTGGTGTAGAAATAGATACAAGTGATAGACTAAATTGAAACTTTCATATCTAATCCTTTAAACCTCCTAAGGTTTTAGAGGTATTTGGTGTTGATTTTTAGCCAGTAGTTTTATGTTAGAAAAAAATGAATTCTTGGCCGGGCGCGGTGGCTCACGCCTGTAATCCCAGCACTTTGGGAGGCCGAGGCGGGCGGATCACAAGGTCAGGAGATCGAGACCACGGTGAAACCCCATCTCTACTAAAAATACAAAAAATTAGCCGGGCCAGGTGGCGGGCACCTGTAGTCCCAGCTACTCAGGAGGCTGAGGCAGGAGAATGGCCTGAACCCGGGAGGCGGAGCTTGCCGTGAACCGAGATCACACCACTGCACTCCAGCCTGGGCTACAGAGCAAGACTCCGTCTCAAAAAAAAAAAAAAAGAAAAAAGAAAAAAATGAATTCTTCCTTAAATGAAGTCTTTATTTTTATCTTCAACTAATTGTGTACTTCTGGCTGTAAAAATAGAAATGAGTCTACAGATAGAATAAGATTGGCAGAGAAAGGAGAAATAGATTACGAAAGTAAGTTTTATTTAAGGATAATTTTTAAATCCAATGTTTTTGAAACAAAAGCCCTTAGACTTCTTAGAAATTGATGGCTATATGCTTAGAAGTCTAAAGATCTAAAAAAATTTTAGTGTTTTCATTTTTAAGCCACCGTTTTTATGTAAGACAAAAGGACTCATAAATGGAAGCAACCATAAATGAAAGACATGGTCTTATAGGATAAGATTTTTGGTTATTAAATCTGTATATCTCAAATTGGGGTCCATAGATAAAATCTTGAGAGTTTGCCAGAAGTATTATCTTTTAGAAGGGGAACCACATCTTACTCCACTTTGAGAAACAGTTTTTAAAAATGTGTTAATTTACTTCTATTTTTTCATATTCTTTCTACTCTGAACAATTCACTAGACTCCCTCTGTGCTGCCAGTCTTGCCCCCACCACAACCCCATCTCCTGAAAGTATAAATGAGATGTCTAGGTAGAATTTGGATTTGGAATTGTCTTTCTTATTGAACCATAATTTTCAGTGAAGATAATTCCTCTGAAGATATTTGAGAGAAGGCTGTGTGGGTGTTAATGTTTAGGGAGCTGATATATAAGTTTGTCAAAGGAAGACATTCAAGGTGAGTCTCGTCTGGAAGTCAAAGCTAGAATTAGTGCTCTTCAGGTTCCCTCTGGTTTTGTTATCAGAAAGTAGTCTACAGGCTTCAGCTGGGTCCCAATCAACTTTGCTAAGCTAATATGCAAATAAATGTGTAACTTATTGCTACACAGTTACAAAGAACCTAGTCAGAAAAAACAAACACTTGTAGAAATTCTTAACTATCCAAAAGTGAAAATCTGTTTGTGTATAGTACTTAACCACAGCATAGGGAGATAAACAAGAAATATTTGAATGAATGAAAGGTGTATTTAGAGGCATTAAAATTAGATTTCTGAAAACAATCCTAAGATCTGTAAATCTAGGGCTGTATGATGATACCAGATTGCTTTTCACTCATATAATTTGTTCATCAGGTCAGCACACTCCTCTTTTGTTTAGCCTCTTATAAATCTGGGGTGCTTTCAGATGGAGCTGTGGCATAGCTACATAAGCATTGATTGAGGAACCACTCCCTGCTTTCCTTTCTGCCCCACCACTAATTATGTGAACTTGGACAGCTTACTTAACCTCTTTGCTCCTTGATTTTTTCCTGTAAAATAATGCCTACTTGAAAGTCTGTTGAATGAAATGAGATACTGTATGTCAAAGTGCCTAACACACTGTTGGCTTCATAGTAGGTACTCAGAAAATTATGGTGTTGTTTTCCCTTAATGGATGGGGAATTACATTTACCTACTGATAAAGTTTGATTACAACCTGACTCTCTATATGTCCATTCTTCCTAGGTGTTGTGAATAAGGAAAATGCTCTTCGTTAAGCCATATTTGTGACTTCCGATATTTCACTAATACTTTTCAATCAAGAAAACTGCATTGCTAACTTGCCTATCACTTTAAAGTGGTATTTGAAGGATTTGTGTGATACAATTATGACTTTGTAATTAGGCACCCTAAAAACCCGATCAGGCCTATTGCTTACTTTCTTTGATTCATCTGTCTTCTCTGCTGTGATCACCTTGTTCCTCCTGATATGGAAGGTATATAAGCTTTTGTAGTGTGAATTTATGTTGTGAAGCATATGAAGGCAGAGACTATCCACTCTATCAGTGGTTTTCAAATTGTCTTCCATGGAACCCTCACATTTGAACACATTTCTGTAAGTTTATTAAAAGCAAATGTGGTCAGTATAAAATGTGTGTTCACCCCATCATCCCAGCCCCAGTCCCAGCATGCCAGGGATTGGTGTTCCATGACATGAAAAGTAACGCAGAAGGGTTCTACAAGCTGTAGAAGTTTGAAAGCCACTGTATTAACCAGATAATCTAATGGTCCTGGTTGTTTACAAAATGGAACTGCAAAAAGAGTTGGTTACAAGCTTTAATGACCAGGACAATAAAAATCTTAATGCATTTATATGCCATTACATGTACATGTTTTATAAGGAATATGAATAAGGTTTTTAGACCTTAATTTTCATATTTTATATGGCAGTGACACCAGGGTAGTGCTCCATCTATGATGATAGCTTATATATTGTTTGCATGACTAGAACCCTTTCCATGTTGTATACGTAAGAAGACTTTGATTTGGCTAAAACCATCATAGACAGTCTCCAGTTTATGAATGAATTGTGTTCTACACATGATCAGTTTTTTTTTTTTTTTTTTTGGAGAGGAAGTCTTGCTCGGTTGCCCAGGCTGGAGTGCAATGACGCGATCTCGGCTCACTGCAAGCTCCGACTCCTGGGTTCACACCATTCTCCTGCCTCAGCTTCCCAAGTAGCTGGGACTACAGGTGCCTGCCACCACGCCCGGCTAAATTTTTGTACTTTTTTGGATACAGGGTTCCACCTTGTTAGCTAGGATGGTCTTGCTCTGCTGACCTTGTGATCTGCTCTCCCCGGCCTCCCAAAGTGCTGGGATTACAGGTGTGAGCCACCGTGCCCAGCCAATCAGTTCTGTTTTCCCTATAGAAGTTTTGTTACAAACCTGAGTGGCTCTGCAGAGCCTGTACAATTAGCCTTAGTTCTGAGCTATTGGGGGTAGGATTCCTATCTTCAGTGAATGATAGGGAATAGTTTCCTTTCCTGGGCATAGGATAGGCTCTAGGCAAAATTCTTCATTTGGTTTTGTTTCTTTCTATCTTTTTTTTTTTTTTTTTTTTGAGACGGAGTCTCATTCTTGTTGCCCAGGCTGGAGTGCAGTTGTGTGATCTTGGCTCACTGCAACCTCTGCTTCCCGGGTCACAGCGATTCTCCCGCTTCAGCCTCCTGAGTAGCTGGGATTACAGGCACAAGCCATCACGCCCGGCTAATTTTTGTATTTTTAGTAGAGACAGGGTTTCGCCATGTTGGCTAGGCTGGTCTCGAACTCCTGACCTCAGGTGATCCACCCGCCTCAGCCTCCCAAAGTGCTGGGATTACAGGCGTGAGCCACTGTTCCCGGCCTAATCATACTTTAAAATGATTACTTCATGGGCGTTTTTACATAGCATATTGATATTTTGATTGTAAATATATTGTGCAGAAGATTTGCAAAAATATTTCACAGTCCTAACACTCAGAGATAACTACTCTTAAAAAAAGTGGTGTATTTCCTTTTAGTCTTTCTTTCACCCTCTGTATAAGTGTATAGGATATTTTAACTTCAATTTAATTTTTGATTGGTGGAATTCTAGGCATTGTATTCCAGTGAAGTGAAAACCTTTGCAGGATAGAGGGAGATATTCTAGGACTGAAATTTTTTATATTATTTAATCATACTTAGAAGTCCATTTCCAAATCTGTTTTCCCATGTTCTTCCCATTTTTTGTTTTCTCTTTCTTTTGAGCTCATAAATTCTCTAAAAATTCCGTGTTTCTCTTCATGGTTTCCATGGCAATAAGAGCATCCTCTTTAATGATAGGATGTAGGAGGCAAGATCAAAGGTGAATACACAGACACACATCACACACGTGGTTATTTCTAAGTCAGGGACTGCCTATGATTGCAAAGTCTCATTTTTTTTTAATTCTCTTTTCATCACTTTTGCAGAATGCATGATGTGTTTGCAGAATATGAACTGTGACACATTTCTGGTTGTTGCATGCTAGGTTTGTTGGTTAGCCATCATTTAGTAGCATTCTGTAGCTATGTCATATTTAACTTTTTCTTTATTGTACATTTAAAAGATTTCTTTTGTTTATTTTGTTTGCATGTTCCACTTTAGTGTTTTAAACACTAAAACTTCTTCCATATATTGCCATGATATACGCTTCTTTCATGTATAAACTAGAATTCTGAACTAAGGGTTGCTACTGGAATTTAGTTAATCATTTGATGATCTTATCCCACTAATAGGGAATAAAATACAGTGTAAAATCATCTTATTGAAAAGCCAACTTTGACATACAAATATGTTGTTATAGTTATAAAAGTGTCAATCACATCTGTGGCAGAGCCGCTTCTTAACTGTAGAGAAGTGAGAAACCACAACCTCCGTATAGTCTTAGCTTTATAAGCACGTATTCTCAGCCTCCAGAATGACTTGCAAGATTATTTTAAATCTGTTTTAAACCTGTTGGTCAGTCAGTATATTGTGTTACCACATTTTTACCAATTTGATAACAGTTCTAATTATTCAGTGCTATGTTGCCACTTCCTAGGGAAAAACATTCTATTCTTTGCTTATGGGAATTTTTAAGAGGCTGAAAAATACATATATGTGGGAAACTGTATGGTCTGCTTTTGATTAATTCCTTATATTTGTGCAATATATTTTTAACAGGCGTGATAAAGCGGAATTGGGAATATATATGTAGCCATGATAAAGAAAAAACGAAGATCCTAGGAGACAAAAATGTTGATCCCAAATGTGAAGACAGTGAGAACAAGTTTGACTTTTCAGTGATGTCCTATAATATACTTTCACAAGATTTACTGGAAGATAACTCTCACCTTTATAGACATTGCCGGCGGCCAGTATTACACTGGAGTTTTAGGTTTCCCAATATTCTGAAAGAAATTAAACACTTTGATGCAGACGTAAGTGCAAAATATTATTGAAATTCTTCACATAAGAAAAAGTTGGGGCCGGGCATAGTGGCTCATGCCTGTAATCCCAGCACTTTGGGAGGCTGAGACAGGCGAATCACCTGAGGTCGGTAGTTCGAGACCAGCCTGACCAACATGGAGAAACCCCGTCTCTACTAAAAAATACAATATTAGCCAGGCTTGGTGGCGCATGCCTGTAATCCCAGCTACTCAGGAGGCTGAGGCAGGAGAATCACTCGAACCCAGGAGGTGGAGGTTGCGGTGAGCTGACATTGCGCTATTGCACTCCAGCCTGGGCAACAAGAGTGAAACTCTGCCTCAAAAAAAAAAAAAAAGAAAAAGAAAAAGTTGGGTTACATGTTTCATTTGTGCATTTATGAACTAAATGAAGTTTTCTCCGTTTTGTTTGTGGGGTAAGAAAGGAATGTGTTTAAGAATAATGATGGAATAAGTCTTAATAAGGTATGACTTTCAGAGAGGCATTTGTTAGTGGTTGCTGGTGTGAATAATCATCTAACTTTTCAAAAAGGATCCAAAACGTTTTTAAGTATGGGTCAGTTTTGAGACAGAAACTGGCAGCATATTAAGTATTCAGTAAATATTAACTTTGATTTAAAGTTTCAGTAATTCATGCAAAAATGTCACCTACCTGATAGCATTCAAAGAAATCAGCCTCTTAAGACCTGATAGTACCAATGAACACGTAAAACCCGAAAAAATATTCTGACATGTAAGCTAAGAATATTTCCTTTAGAATGTAATAATTTTGAGTACTAAGGGAGCTCCATGTGATTGAGGGCCAGAGTTTTGAGATTGATCAAAATTCGGAAACATTAATTTGGTAGATCTATAACAAGAAAAAAGGATGTCTTTTATTTCAATTATTATCAGGTGTGGAATTTTAGAAGCCAGCTTTTAGATATTTTAAGATAAAAGCACCAGGAAATTCATAGTTGCATCTCTGTGTTCTAATTCAAGCTATTTTTTTCTTCCAAGGTACTTTGTTTGCAAGAAGTTCAAGAAGATCATTATGGAGCAGAGATTAGGCCAAGTTTGGAATCACTGGGTACAGTGTAACTCTTTTTTTTTTTTTTTTTTTTTCTTTTTTGAGACAGGGTCTCAGTCTGTCGCCCAAGCTGGAGTGCAGTGGCACAATCATGGCTCACTACAGCCTCAACCTCCTGGGCTCAAGTAATCCTCTCATGTCAGCTTCCTGAGATGTGTGCCACCATGCCCGGCTAATTATTTAATTTTTTTTTATAGAGACAAGGCAATGTAACTTATATCTTAGCCAAATTTACTTTTGAAAATTCATGTGTCGTTAAGATATAACTTGCTAACAAAGATGTGTGGCATATTTTGGCTAAAAATCTTAATTTTAAAAAATTGATTTCAAAGAGTCAGGAAAAGGTTGAGGTACTCTCTGGAAACTTTTGTGTTGGAGTATAATTTTAATTCAAACAGAAAGATGTGTAAGAATCTCTTAGTAACTCCCTTTCCTAGGAGTTGTTCAATCCACCTCTAGACCTATTAGATTCTGAGCTCCATGAGGTCAGGGACCATTTTGTCTCTTTCATCATTATAATACCAGTGCCTACCAGTGTCTACCTAATGGATAGATGCCAAAAACCTGTTTGACAGATAAACACTTCTAGAAACAAGTTATCTGTGGTCCCACATACTTGAGAAATGTGCCTGCTTTGCATTCATTAATTTAGCAAAATTTTTTTTTTTTTTTTTTGAGACAGACTCTCTCTGTTGCCTAGGCTGGAGTGTAGTGATGCAATCTTGGCTCACTGCAAGCTCCACCTCCCAGGTTCATGCCGTTCTCCTGCCTCAACCTCCCTAGTCGCTGGGACTGCAGGCGCCCGCCACCACGCCCAGCCAATTTTTTGTGTTTTTTAGTAGAAACAGGGTTTCACCGTGTTAGCCAGGATGGCCTTGATCTCGTGACCTCGTGGTCCGCCTGCCTTGGCCTCCCAAAGTGCTGGGATTATAGGCGTGAGCCACCGCGCCCGGCCTTCATTCAGCAATTTTTTTTTCGAGTGTCTACTATATACCATGCACTATTCTAGGGAGTGAGGATATAGCACTGGGCAAAAAAGATGTAAAAAATTTCTCCCTCATCTGGAGTGTACCTTCTAGTGGAGAAAGGCTAACCAAATAAATAAGTAAATAGCATATTAAGTAATGATAGTTTTCTGGAGAAAAGCAGGAAAGTGGAATGGGAGAGGTTTCAGTTTTAAACAAAATGATCAGACAAGGTGACATTTGAACAAATATTTGAAGGTGAAGGAATAAGCTATGCTTAGAACATTCTAGGCAACAGAAATAGCAAGGGAAAGGCCCTGAGGTTGGAGTGTGTTAAGGCAAGTGAGGAGGCCAGCGAGGTTGGAATGAAGTGAGGGGGAAGGAGTTATAAGCAAAAAGATCAGGAATATAGGGTGGAGAGAGTGTGAGAATAGATTATTGAAAGTCTTTACTGTTATTGCCTTGACCAAGTTTTACTAGGATGGCAATGGGAGACTGATAATACACATTAGCATATCAAGGGCTGAAGTCTGCATATAAAGAGGCCTGTTAGACCCAGTGTCAAACGTTTTTTATTCCAATGTTTATTGACATCCTACATTACTAATAGACCCAGTGTCAAACGTTTTTTATTCCAATGTTTATTGACATCCTACATTACTAATGTTTTGCAGAATACAGTTTGGTAAACATTGTTCAGAAGTATCAGGTGAGCTGTGTTTTGACAAATATATAAAAGCAGTCATTTGTTTTAAATTCATTTGTTTCTTATAGGTTATCACTGTGAATATAAGATGCGGACAGGAAGGAAACCTGATGGCTGTGCTATTTGCTTCAAACATTCCAAATTTTCACTCTTGTCAGTGAACCCAGTGGAATTCTTCCGCCCTGATATTTCTCTGTTGGACAGAGACAATGTTGGATTAGTTTTACTCTTGCAGCCCAAAATTGCATGTGCTGCCTCTCCTGCAATCTGTGTAGCAAATACCCATCTGTTGTATAATCCAAGGCGAGGTGATATTAAGCTGACCCAATTGGCAATGCTACTGGCAGAGATTTCCAGTGTTGCCCACCAGAAAGATGGCAGCTTCTGCCCTATTGTTATGTGTGGTGACTTTAATTCTGTTCCTGGTTCTCCACTATATAGTTTTATAAAGGAAGGAAAATTGAATTATGAAGGACTTCCCATAGGAAAGGTAAGTGCTTGCTCCATTGTTAGTAGGAAGTGGACATAGTTGCTCTGCTCATGATAATGTGAAGATAGTCATTACATGGCTGCTTAAAAACCTTGGATGATCCAGTACCCTCACTTTATCAAACTGATTTTCCATGACTTCTTATTTTTATTTTTTTGAGATGGAGTCTCCCTCTGTCACCCAGGCTGGAGGCTGGAGTGCAGTGTCATGATCTCAGCGCACTGCCAAGTTCTGCCTCCCGGGTTCAAGTGATTCTCCTGCCTCAGCCTGCTAAGCAGCTGGGATTACAGGTGTGCGCCACCACACCTGGCTAATTTTTGTATTTTTAGTAGAGACAGGGTTTCAGCTTGTTGACCAGGCTGGTCTCGAACTCCTTACCTCATGATCCACCCGCTTCGGCCTTCCAAAGTGCTGGGATTACAAGCATGAGCCACTGTGCCCAGCCACGTCTAATAAATAATTATTTTCATTTGGTTGATTTTCATCTCTTTCATCTGTCTGTGGCAACATACTGCTTGGAGGAATTAACAGGCAGCAAAAAAAAAAAAAAAGTATTGACAGACATGGATACTTCACAAATAAGTAACACAAGGTGGCAGGATAGAATTTGGAAAGCTGGATGTGGGCAAAATAGTAATTCAACATTTATTATATAAGTTTCCCTTGTATAATAATAAATATTTTCTTTAGCTTAGCACAATTTAGCTCATGTAATTATTTTTATTGTGCTTTCCTTTCCTTACTTTAGATCATTTGATCTTCAGTATATTTACCAAAATAAGCTCTCCACCACTAGAGTTTTCAGTGATAGTTTAAAATTATTTATTTATCATTATTATTTTGAGATGGATGGAGTGTTGCTCTTTTGCCAGGCTGGAGTGCAAAGGTGTGATCTTGGCTCACTGCAACCTCTGCCTCCCAGTTTCAAGCAATTCTGCTGCCTCAGCCTCCCAAGTAGCTGGGACTACAGGCGTACGCCACCACACCTGGCTAATTTTTTATATTTTTAGTAGAGACGGGGTTTCACAGTGTTAGCCAGGATGGTCTCGAACTCCCAACCTCAGGTGATCTGGAGGTTCACCTCGGCCTCCCAAAGTGCTGGGATTACAGGCATGAGCCACCGTGCCCAGATAGTTTAAAATTTTATAAAAGTTAATCTCTGTTAGTACAGGTATACCTCATTTTATTGTGCTTTGCTTTATTGAGCTTCAACCATACTGCATTTTACAAAATTGAAGTTTCGTAGCAACCCTGCCTTAAACAGCTCTATCGGTGCCATTTTTCCAACAGCATGTGCTCAATTCCTGTCTCTGCCACATTTTGGTGACTCTTGCATTACTCAAACATTTTCATTATTATTACATCTGTTATGTTGATCCCAGATTAGTGATCTTCGATATTACTATTATAATGGTTTTGGGTGTTATGAACTGTACCCATATAAAATGATGAACTTAATTGATAAGTGTGTTTTGACTGGTCCACTAATCATCTCTCCCCCTCTACTTGGGCCTCTATATTCCCTGAAGCACAACAATATTGAAACTAGGCCAAGTAATGGCCCTGCAGCACTCTCTAAGTGGTCAAGTAAAAGGAAGACTCACATGTCTCACTTTGAATCAAAAGCTAGAATTGATTAAGCTTAGCAAGGAAGGCATTTTGAAAGCTGAGAGGCCAAAAGCTAGGCCTCTTGCACCAAACAGCAAAGTTGTGAATGCAAAGGAAAAGTTCTTGAAGGAAATTAGAAGTGCTACTCCAGTGTATGAAGGCATAATAAGAAAACAAAACAGCCTTATTGCTGATATGGAGAAAGCTTGAGTGGTCTGGATAGAAGATCAACCAGCTACAGCATTCCCTTGAATCAAAGCCTAATGCTGAGCAAGGCACTAAGTCTCTTCAATTTTATGAAGGCTGAGAGAGGTAAGGAGGCTGCAGAAAAGAAGTTGGAAGTTGACAGAGTTTAATTTGCGAGGTTGAAGGAATGAAGCCATCTCCATAACATAAAAGTGCAGGTAAAGCAACAAGTGCTGCTGATGTAGAAGCTACAGTGGGTTATCCAGAAGATCTAGCTAAGATCGTTGATGAAGGTGGCTACACTAAATAATAGTTTGTTTGTTTTTTTTTTGGAGACAGAGTCTCACACTATTGCCCAGGCTGGAGTGCAGTGACACAATCTCAGTTCACTACAACCTCCGCCTCTTGGGTTCAAGCGATTCTGCTTCAGCCTCCCAAGTAGCTGGGATTACAGGTGCATGCCTCCATGCCGGGCTAATTTTTAAATATTTTTTGGTAGAGATGGGGTTTCACCATGTTGCCCAGGCTGGTCTCAAACTCCTGGGCTCAAGCAGTCCTCCTGCCTCAGTCCCTCAAAGTGTTGGGATTACAGGTGTGAGCCACCGCACCTGGCCAACAATAGATTTTTAATGTGGATGAAACCACTTTCTGTTGCAAGAAGATGCCATGTAGGACTTTTCATAGCTAGAAAGAAGAAGTCAGTGCCTGGTTTCAAAGGACAGGCTGACTCTTTTGTTAGGAGCTAATGTAGCTTGTTATTTAAAGTCAGCGTTGGTCAACCATTCTGAAAATCCTAGGGCACTTAAAAATTATGCTAAATCCACTCTACCTCTGCTCTATCAATGGAAAAACAAAGCTTGGGGATGACAGTGCATCTGTTTATGGCACAGAATATTTTAAGCACACTGCCGAGACCACTACTCAGAAAAACAGATTCCTTTCCAAAGATTACTGTTCATTCACAAGGCACCTGGTCACCCAAGAGCTCTGATGAAGATGTACAAGGAAATGAGTGTTGTTTCATGCCTGCTAACACGGCATCCATTCTGCAGCCGGAATCAAGGAGTAATTTTGTATCTACGGGTCTCCTTATTTAAGAAATACATTTCATAGGCTATAGCTGCCATAGAAGTGATTTCTCTGATGGATCTGGGGAAAGTAAATTGAAAACCTGGAAAGGATTCAGCAGCCTAAATGCTATTCAGAACATTCGTGATTCATGGGAGGAAGTAAAAATATAACCATTAAAAGGAGTTTGGTAGAAGTTGATTCCAACCCCCATGAATGACTTTGAGGGGTTAAAGACTTCAGTGGAGGAAGTAACTGTAGATGTGGTGGAAGTAGCAAGAGAACTAGAATTACTAGAATTAGAAGTGGAGCCTGAAGAATTAACTGAATTGTTTCAATCTCATGATAAAACTTAAATAGATGAGGAGTTGCTTCTTATAGATGAGCAGAGTATTTTCTTGAGATGCAGTCTATTCCTGGTGAAGATGCTGTGAACATTGCTGAAATGACAACAAAGGATTTTAAAAGTTACATAAATTTAGTTGATAAAACATTGGCAAGGTTTCCAATTTTGAAAAAAGTTCTACCATGGATAAAGTGCTGTCAAACAGCATCACGTGCTACAGAAAAATCTTTTATGAAAGGAAGCATCAGTGGCTGCAGCAAATTTCACTGTTGTCTTATTTTTAAGAAATTGCCACAGCCAACCCCAACCTTAAGCAACCATCACCCTGATCAGCCAGCAGCCATTATTATCTAGGCAAGACCCTCCACCTGTAAAAAGATGATGACTCACTGAAGGCTCAGATGATTGTTAGGATATTTTAACAATAAAGTATTTTTAAATTAAGGTATGTATTTTCTTAGGCATAATGCTATTGCACACTTAATAAACTACAGTATAGTATAAACACAATTTATATGCACTGGGAAACTGAAAAAATTATGTGACTTGCTTTATTGAGATACTCACTTTATTGTGGTGGCCTGGAACCAAACCTGCGGTATCTCTGAGCATGCCTGTATTTGATACAATAGGAACTATATTGCTGGTAGTAAAAAAGGATGAGTAGTATTAGTCCAAAGCGATAGATCATTTGTATGTCCAAACTAAAGAAAAACATGTATGGGAAAAAGATTGTCATTTTTATGTAAATGATAAGTGCTTTCTGAATTGTATTTGAAGAAAAGAAGATTTTATAAGGCCAAAGAATCACTTAATATAATGAATAAAGGGTAATAATTTACCACTTTTGGATTACCTTTTATTTAAGACCTAAACTTTTCAATTCATAAACTATTTAAAATATTTTCACTTAAGATACCTGTTGAAATTTTGTTTAGGTATCTGGCCAGGAACAGTCTTCACGGGGACAAAGAATTTTATCTATTCCAATTTGGCCCCCAAACCTAGGTATCTCACAGAACTGTGTGTATGAGGTACAGCAGGTACCAAAAGTAGAAAAGACAGGTAAGTGTTTGTAATACATTTTGGCAGTCTGCTGGGTAATCATGTTCCCTTTGAAGACATAAAACTTAAGTTTTTAAAAAGATAAAATCCCAGGGATGAATATTCATGTATAAAAATATATAGTTATTGATTCTTTTTCTTAAGACCTCTAAATTTACCTTTTTAAAGTTGAACTTCCAGAATTATCTGTGCATGATTTACTTGCATGTTGCTTTGGAATTGTTTGCATTTTTTTATTTTTCCGAATTCTGGAGGCCATCAAAATATATAGATTCCAGAATGAAACATGTAACTAGGCATCTTTCTAACCTAGATAAGTCTTAAATATTGTTTCTGGAGTAAGATGATGGTATTAAGGCAAACTAGAACAAAACTATATTAATAAAATTAATATATTTTCCTCTATTCTTACAGACAGTGATCTGACACAAACACAACTGAAGCAAACAGAGGTCCTAGTGACAGCTGAAAAGTGAGTTCTGGAAAGTAAAAGGATACATTTGCTAACTTTAGTTGAATAAAAAACTCATTTCTCAAAAATCACTTGGATAAAAAAATTAAGGTGATAATATTCCATGCTGGTGAAGAGTGCCGGCCCTTAAGTCAAATAGGCCTGAGTTCCAGTCCTGACTCTGCTGTGTTTTAACTGAATAATTTTAAGCAAGAAACTTAACATCTCTGAGGTTCAGTTTCTTTGTCTGTAGTTCGGGTTGTTGTGAGGATTAGATGAGACAAAGCATATAAAGCACAATGTTTGAAACATAGTTAAGTGCCTAGGTAGTATTAGGAAGGGAAACAGCTTGTTTGTGGACCTGGACCAGCTCAAGTACTCTTTGAAATTCACATACTTAAACAAAGGTCAAGATCACAGAAACATAACTCTCAGATATCAAGAGGACCTTTAGTTGTCTTTGATTTACTAAATCTCAAAACTGTCTATAAGAGAATTGATCCAAAAATGAATATGCCAGTTGAAAAGATGATCATTTAAATTTATCTCTTGAACTGTAGGAAAAGATTGTCAGAGGGGTAAAGATGCTGGGATTCTTCATTAAAGAAATAGGAATATTTGGGGCTATGGTTGAGAAATGGATACATGTTAATAAAACAGGACAGAGACTTAAATCTTGGGGAGATTCTTGAAATATCTTGCTTGTTTTATATTGTGGCTACTTTATAGGTTTTTGTTTTAACATTTAAGTTTAGGAACAAATTCTCATTCATTTTATCTGCCTCTCAATCTTTATTTTGTATACCTTGTTTTGAGAAAATATTACTACATAAATAAGAACTAGTAAGAATGGAAGCAAGTTTTTAAAAAAATTTTTAAATGAGTATTTAAAAATTAATGATTAAACCTTTCAATAGAGTAAAAACTTCTTTGAATAAGATTAATAAGGAGGCTAATCTAACAAGTACTTAGTTTTGAGTAATCCTTAAATCTTTTTATAACAATATAGGATATGAAAAAAGATACTGGCTGGCGTGTTGGCTCACGCCTGTAACCTCAACACTTTGGGAGGCCAGGGCGGGAGGATTGCTTGAGCCCAGCAGTTTGAGACCAGCCTGGGCAAGACAGTGAGACCCTGCCTCTATTTTAAAAAAAAGAAAAAAATAAAACATTCTGGCTGGGCGCGGTGGCTCATACCTGTAATCCCAGCACTTTGGGAGGCTGAGACGGGTGGATCACGAGGTCAGGAGTTCAAGAGCAGTAATGCCAAGATGGTGAAACCCAATCTCCACTAAAAATACAAAAAATTAGCCAGGCGTGGTGGCAGGCACCTGTAATCCCAGGGAGGCTGAGGCAGAGAATTGCTTGAACCAGAGGGGTGGAGGTTGCAGTGAGCCAAGATCGCGCCACTGCATTCCAGCCTGGGCGACAAAGCAAGACTCCGTCTCAAAATAATAACAATAATAATATTAAAAAATAAAACAGATACTTTACTTGCCCTTGGTGTCTATCTAAAAATTAAAAGAAAAAAAGAGGCCGGGCACAGTGGCTCATACCTTTAATCCCAGCACTTTGGGAGGCCGAGGCAGGCGGATCATGAGGTCAGGAGATCGAGACCATCCTGGCTAACATGGTGAAACCGCATCTCTACTGAAAATACAAAAATTAGCTGGGCGTGGTGACGGGCGCCTGTAGTCCCAGCTACTCGGGAAGCTGAGGCAGGAGAATGGTGCGAACCTGGGAGGCGGAGGTTGCAGTGAGCTGAGATCGCGTCACTGCACTCCAGCCTGGGTGACAGAGCAAGACTCTGTCTCATAAAAAAAAAAAAAGATACTTTTTAGTATCTATATATACATACAGAGTGTTTATATGCATAGCTTATATCTGTAAACTGAAAAATTGATAGTAAAATAACAGTTTGCAGAAGACCTATTTTTATTTATTATTTTTATTTGAGAGTCAGTCTCACTGTCATCCAGGCTAGAGTGCAGTGACATGATCTTGGCTCACTGCAGCCTCCACCTCCTGGGCTCAAGCAATTCTCCTACGTTAGTCTCCCAAGTAGCTGAGACCACAGGCATGGGCCACCATGTGCAGCTAATTTTCTTAGTTTTTTTTTCTTTTGTAGAGAGGAGGTCTCACTGTGTTGCCCAGGCTGGTCTCGAGCTCCTGAGCTCAAGCAGTCTTCCTGCCTTGGCTTCCCAAAGTGCTGGGATTACAGGTGTGAGCCACCACGCCCGGCCCTATTTGTGTTTAATATTATAAATCCTTAGACATAAAAAGTTGCTAAAACTTAGAGGGCATTTTTAAGGATTTACCTTTGTTCCTGACAGATGAACACTTTAAAAGCAAGGGAAACATCTTCATCTACATATTCTCAGCACCGGAGATAGTGCCTAGAACTTAGAAGGTGTTTGGTAAATGTTTGTTGGATAAGTTTTTCAAAATTGTATTTTCCTTCAAGGCGTAAAAGATCCTTATGATTCATAAAGTATCACTAGAAAATTATCTTTAAACCTTTTACTCATAACATCACATGCATTATATTTGTGCATGGGGCAAATGTAATAAACCATTAGAGAAGCTGTTTTAAGATGCAGTACAAAATTATCTCATATGTCATAGCAAGAAAAATTAGAATATGGCCTCTCTGTCATCAGAAGTCTAGGGGATTCCACATAGTGTTTCTGAAGACCCCCTTGATTCTCTTTCTTAAAAACACAATGAAACTTCTACGCTGTTTTAGAATACAGGTTCTTTAGTAAGTGGAGGCATTCACACGTGTTATAAATAATGAACACATTAGTATGTAAATTATAGAGCTTTTTTTTAAGCCACATTTATGATGGCTTTATTGATGGGTTTTAGATATCACTGCATAAGTAAATTAATACTAAATTATGATATGGTCTATTTAAATAAAGCTTGTCCTAATGTCTGGTCTTAGTCTAGAAATTAAATGAAAGAACTTCAGATAGGAGGAATTCTTGAAGTTATAAAAAACTTGAATACTAAACACTTCTTCTTTTCTATTTAGATTATCTTCAAATTTACAGCACCATTTCAGCTTGTCATCTGTTTATTCACATTACTTTCCTGACACTGGAATTCCAGAAGTGACCACTTGTCATTCCCGAAGTGCCATAACTGTGGATTATATTTTCTACTCTGCAGAAAAGGAAGATGTTGCTGGGCACCCAGGTAAGGAATGCATGTAATCTTAAATTCTGCTAGAGAGCACAGTAGCTAAAACCTCAAGGTTAAAGTTAAGAAAGCTCTCTAAACATACAGTTGAAGTTCTAGATCTAGAAGGTAAAAATATTTTGAAATAGACAGATTGGTAATATCTTTGAATAAATCAGTTGATTACTTGCATATGAGGGAGGCAATAAAACACATCCAAGCAAATTATTAACCAAGAATTACATTATCAGTCCTACCCTCCAGTTCCAGTCAGCCTCTGAGTTATAGGTCTTTCATATTGCCCTTTCTTTTTACTTGCCATAAATTTACTGTTTTTCCTGTGACAGGAACTGAGTATGTTGTTAATGGTCATCATAGTTTTGTGCTTAAATTTTACGGAGGCATGCTGCCTTCATTGGAGGACCATAGTTACGCTGCCAGCAACACAGTTTATGCTGTCATGTTGACTCTGGAATATTGGATTTTTCTGAAGAGGAAAAGTATATATATATATATATGTACTTTTTTTTTTTTTTTTTTTTTTGAGACAAAGTCTTACTCTGTTACCCAGGCTAGAGTGCAGTGGCGGGATTCTCAGCTCACTGCAGCCTCTGCCTCTTGGGTTTAAGTGACCTTCCCACCTCAGCTTCCCGAGTAGCTAAGACTACAGGTACGAGCCACCATGCCTGCCTAATTTTTGTAATTTTTGTAGAGACAGGGTTTCACCATGTTGCCCAGGCTGGTCTTGAACTCCTGGGTTCAAGCAACCCGGCCATCTCAGCCTCCCAAAGTGGCTTGGATTATGGGCATGAGCTTCCACATTCGGTCAGAAAAGTCTATATTATTACTAGGTGTTTTCAAAAAGTGAAGGTGATAAAAGTTTTCTTTGTGCGCCTCAATGAAAATCAGGTTTTAAACATTAGCCAGAGGATTTAAAGTGGAGAAGAAAATGCAGTTTAAGATTACTGGAAGTACAAAAATATCATTAAGAAAACTTTGGAATGTGGGCAGCTTTTTCTTTTCTGAGTTTTTCATTTTTTTTCTCTTCCATTTTTTTTTTTAATGCTTCTTGTTCTTTACCCTTTTCCCCTCTGTTTGTTCCCCCCTCCTTCTGGGAATAACCTTATTAGTAACACTCAGGAGATGACTTACCCCTGCCACTAGATCTACTCTACAAAATATGCCTGCTGCTTTGAATTTATAGTAAGGTTTTCATAGTTGTCATGCTGACAGAAGTTCACTAGGTGGCGGGAGAGTGTTACCGATCAGCATTTCAAATTTCTTTTTTTTTTTTTTTTAATTTATTATTATTATACTTTAAGTTGTAGGGTACATGTGCATAACGTGCAGGTTTGTTACATATGTATACTTGTGCCATGTTGGTGTGCTGCACCCATCAACTCGTCATTTACATCAAGTATAACTCCCAATGCAATCCCTCCCCCCTCCCCCCTTCCCCCTCCCCATGATAGCATTTCAAATTTCTTAACGATAAGAGCGTGTCATCTTTTACTCTACTTCTGTGGGTGCTGACTCGGGACTAAGTTATACTAATTTATTCTCCATTCACCTTATAAACTTCTGCAGGGCTGTGGCCCGGTATCTCTGGCTTTATGCAACTACAGAATGGTTGCTGGATGAGTTTCTTATGTAGTTGTCAATCACAAATTACTCTTAACATTCTTAAGTATTTGATTTATATTTTCTTCTAAAGATTGCTTACAGTTACAGAGCTGGAACTAGAAACAGTATCTCAAACTGCTGTGTGTTAGGTAATTACAATTAGGTTATAACTCAATATTAAGCTTAAATATTCTAAAAACTGTTTCATAGTTTTTAGTCTTCTGGAGGGGCCTCAAGTTCTATATGTATTTGGAGAAAAGACTTGTATGATTAATTTACAATAACCTGTTGACAGTTTTACTAAATATGTATGTGCTTCTTTAGGAGCTGAAGTTGCTTTGGTTGGTGGCTTGAAACTTCTAGCTAGACTGTCACTTCTTACAGAACAAGACTTATGGACTGTTAATGGACTTCCAAATGAAAATAACTCTTCAGATCATCTGCCTTTATTGGCAAAGTTCAGACTTGAGCTCTGACTTCTTTGATCACATACTAATTTTCTTTCCAATTTGTATTGTTTTTCAAAGAATGTAAAGTTCTTAAGTGTATGCATGTTGTTTATTTTTGCACTGTGGAGTTTCTGAGGAGGTTATGTTAGATGCTTTGAAACTCTATCAGAAGAAACAACTTTATAACAATTTTTTTAATAATGAAAAATATTTTTCTGACAAGTGAGATCTAAATACTCTTTATTGTAAAAGAGATGTAAAGGTTTTGTATTCTAAATCCTAGTAAAATTGACAGTGATTTTTAAATATAATGCATCTTTCTTTGTCTGCTTGTAAAAAAATTTCATTTCATAAATTTTGGTGAGCTCTGTAGTGGATCCAAAATATCTTTGAGTTCTTGCAAACTATAAGCGGTTTCTTTCCAGAAGGCTTGATTTCCTTAGGAGACCCCTCTATTGAGTTCTAAATAGTTTATCTTAGAAATCCTTGGGTCATTCACAGGTACCCAACCAGCCATTGTTTAGTTTGTTTTTGAAGGGGTTTGATAATGCTTTTTAAGTTGTACAGAATGCTTAATCCATCATATTACTGTCCTGAGCCATGTAATATGCCTGCATCGTGTTGGGGAAATGTTTGGGAAATGTAAGTCAGCATAACGTGTAAAGCTCACTCTTTCACCCTGGAACAGACAGAGGTGGGCTTAATAGAGGCAGAGACTGGGGATATACCTTTGTTTCCCTAGCATTTTTATTTATTTATTTTTAATTTATTATTATTTTTTTTTGAGATGGAGTTTCACTCTTGTTGTCCAGGCTGGAGTGCAATGGTGCGATCTCTGCTCACTGCAACCTCTGCCTCCTAGGCTCAAGCGATTCTCCTGCCTCAGCCTCCCGAGTAGCTGGGATTACAGGCATGCGCCACCACTCCCGGCTTATTTTGTATTTTTAGTAGAGACAGGGTTTCTCCATGTTGGTTAGGCTGGTCTCAAACTCCTGAGCTCAGGTGATCTGCCCAACTCAGCCTCTCAAAGTGCTGGGATTACAGGCGTGAACCACTGCAGCTGGCAGCATTTTTTAAAAATTCAGTTTTAAGATCTCTGGGTTAGGGGAGAGATTTTATTTTACTGAACCAGTTCTGTAGAAATTTATTTTATTAGGAAATTTGTCTTTGGAACAAAATGGCAGCTATAAAATTGTTTTTGTTATGCCTCAGAAATATGAGGAAGCCTGTAAAACTCTAGTGGGAAGATATTAACTTGGAGTCCTAATACTCTGTAAATAGTCATTAAACTGTTGGTTTTAGTGGTTTTGTTTCTAAAATGTTTTCTTTTACAGTGATGCACCAGTGTGAGATGGTGCTGACACTTTCTATGAAGTGGTTATGAGTAGGTTTAATAAATCCTATATACAAGTGTTTGAATTGATTTTAAAACATAAAAAGTGGAAATTTCCTTTTTTGTAGACAGTAGGAACAAGGAATTACATACATTTTTACTAAGTAGTAATTTTACACTGAATTATAAATGTTTTTACAGTGAGTTTTATTAATAGAATGCTTCACCTTAAATTGGAAAATAATAATAGTCTTGGACTAAGTCTTTGTACTAAAGCATTTGCTATAATTATTTTTAAAAAAACAGATGAAAACCTCAAAGAAGGCATGTGGATTATAAGATTTATCTAGTAAAAATTGTAATTGAATATGTTTAAATATTTAATTTCTCACTTTGGGGGGGTTTTTGTTTTTTAGACGGCATCTCACGCTGTCACCCAAGCTGGAGTGCAGTGGCGCGATCTTGGCTCGCTGCAACCTCCGCCTCCTGGGTTCAAGCAATTCTCCTGCCTCAGCCTCCCCAGTAGCTGGGATTACAGGTGTGCACCACCACGACCAGCTAATTTTTGTATTTTTAGTAGAGATGGAGTTTCACCATGTTGGCCAGGCTGGTCTTGAACTCCTGACCTCAGGGGTGATCCACCTGCCTCAGGCTCCCAAAGTGCTGTGAGTACAGGCATGAGCCACCACTCCTGGCCTTTGGGGAGATTTTAATTGCAGTATTAACTATAGTTCCAAGATTTCCCACATTTTATAGTAGTAGTTTACAGAATATTATGTGCCCTAATTAGCAGATACAGACATTATCAAATTATAATGATAGTATAATTTGATAGTATAATAATCCCCTTTTTAGTACTGGGGAAAAGAAAAATGAAAATTCATTAGTTAATTACTGCCTTGTGTTGTGTGAATTTATTAACAAATAACATTATTACATATAGGTCATTGTTAACAAACGAACATCCCTGAAAACCTCTGTGAAAAGTTTTTATATCCTGATTAATATATTCTGGCCCATTTTTCATGTGCTTCACTTTGATAAGAGTTAATCCATAAAATTGCTCCCTACTTTAGCTTATCAAATGAAGTATTATTTTGTGGACTGGAGGCCAGAAAGTCAATGTGAGCTTCTCACAGGTTTTTAAAGCTCCACTAAAAATAATTATCCACTTGTCTTTACTTTTGTTGACCAGAATAGTTGGTAACTCTGCCGGAGCCTCTACTTACCTGCCAAAAGCAATTAAATCTGGTTAATGCCTGAAACCAAATCTCTCAGTCTCAAGTGTTATACTATACAAGTTTTAAATGGAAAGGTAAACTGTGGAGTAATGAAATTTTGGTTTTACTGTACATTTTGCTATCAAGATAATATGCATGTTTGAAATCTTGTCTTTATTTGTAATTCAGTTACTGTCTGCTTTTAACCATTTGCTTTCCTAAAGAAAGTTTGAGATCCAGAGAGTTCAAGGGATTGGGGAAAGAGAGGCGTCAAGTCATTTGCACTTTGTACCTGTAAGTTATGTAATAAACTATTATACTCATACTTCTGTGCCTGAAGGTTTTGTGGTAGGTATACTGAGATGTATAAGCTGTCCTGTTGCCTTTACTAAACTATTTCATTGCTCTTTTCAGCCATTTTTACTTAGGGTGGTGCTAAAAGATGAGTGAATTGAGATGTGTCAAAATAGAGTAATAGAGTAGTTTTTAATATAGAGTCTGCAGATTGTGAAAGAAGGGTGAAAGAATGATAAACAGGTTCACTAGAATAAGTATATAATACGATGACCAAAAAAAATCACACCATCTTACTTTTTTTTCTTTCTTTTTTTTTTTTTTTTGAGACTGAGTCTTGCACTGTTGCTTGGGCTGGAGTGTGTCGGCAGGATCTCAGCTCACTGCAACCTCCGCCTCCCAGGTTCAAGCGATTCTCCTGCTTCAGCCTCCCAAATACTTGGGATTACAGGTGCCCGCCACCATGCCTGGCTAATTTTTTGTATTTTTAGTAGAGACAGGGTTTCACCATGTTGGTCAGGCTGGTCTCGAACTCCTGACCTCAGGTGATTCCCCCGCCTCGGCCTCCATAGTGCTGGCATTACAGGCTTGAGCCGCTGAGCCCCGCTGCAACTTACATATTTAGAAGAAAAACAATGGTTAAGTTTCCAGGATGGTTTTATTAAAGTCCCATGCTGTGTTAGAAACATACAAGTGATGAGAAAAACATTAACTCGAAACATGCACTTATCTGGCATTCTCTAAAATACCATTATACAAGTTTTCATTTACTTAGAAAAATACCCACTAAAACAATCACAGTTCTTCTTAAAGATTTAAAAAAAATGTATTGGCCAGAACAAAGTCCAAGAGAATAAACAAAGTTCTGAATTGTATGTCAAAAAAACTGTACAAGGTTGTACATAAAACTATAGCTTACAAAAGCCTCAGGTATAGTAAGAATTCTGAATTAAGATTTCCAAAGTTCTATTTACCAATATCTATTAATAAAATCCTTATGAAATAATTGACTTAGAAAAAGTGAAATGCTCATGATTTCAGAGTGTATAGAAAATACTAAATATCACTTTCTGAAATAAAGTGTACTCAAAACAGCACAACATACAGTCTAAAATCAAGATTTCTGTCATTCATTTAAACTTTGCATATATTACCATGATGGCTTAAACATAAAATTTCTCTTGCACTAAGAACTTTTTAAAATCGATTTCATATCACTTCAGTTTTATTTTTTATATTTTGAATTCTAGCCAGTCTTAAAATCAACTTTGGGAGGGGGGTGCACAAAACATGTTTGTTTGTCTTTTTTTATTAAATTATTGCACTAGAATTTAGGGGTTTGGTGCATTTCCCTTTTTTTTTTTTTTTTAAGAAATTAGCATATTCCATAGGCAATAAAAGTAGGATGACAACTAAGGACATTTTAAATGTACTTTCATGTTTGTGTGACTAAACCTTGCTTTGGGGCGGGAGCGGGTGTGGGAGAAATTAGCTTACTAATTGAACCATCAAGCCAGTTGGCAGTTCTAAGGCTTCTATATCAGCATATTACAGAGTTTGTATTCCTATTCTTTTCCTCCTTGTTGTGGGAAACAAGCTATGCAACCATTTGACATTCTGTATTTTAGATGTAACAGTACTTAATACTTGGGCAAAAATAAATTCCAACTCTTAGAATGGATGCAGTGTTATAAGAGGTGTACTTACTAGATGTAAGCAAGTTTCAGATTGACAAACAGAAGGTATATGTTTAAGTCAGTATTGTTTTAGAATGAAAATGAAATGATTCACTATTTCAAACATCTGAATACATGTGACCAAGAGGCTGCAAATGGGTTTGCTGTGTGAAGATAGACAGAGATAACTCATTTTAAACTCTGATAATACTGTTCTTAAAGAGATTAAACTGAGAATTTTTAACCCTGTGCTACATTTTAATCTAATGGAGATGTATCCTTGTTCTTGTTCATCTACATGACATTAGACTTCTTTTTTTAAGAAAACAGTACTTTTCATTAATAATACTGATTTTTAGGGTAAAGTAAGCTCTTGTGCACATAGCTAAAGGATGAAGTCCTTTTGCTTTCCCTGTCACCCCCAGAAATCTTGTAAAGAATTGGTAAAGAATCTCAATGAGGATATATTTTTTTAACTTCCTTCCTATAGACACCTTCAGTCAAAGAAAGCCAGAAGACATGCACTGAGACTGAAATAACATCTGTTGACTACCAGACTTCACTGAAATCGGCTGTCTGGTCTCCTGAGTTGGCATTGTTGCTAAGATAAAGCAAATGAAATCGAAGCTGTACTCTTGATATTTATACCATACAAGACTATGCTGTTAGGGTTGTCCTCTGTGGTCTGCAGCCAGAGGTTACACTGTAACTACCATATGCAGGCCAGACATTCATTCCGTGCTTAGGGACTGAATCACACTATAAGATCTAACACTGGACTGAAGATTTCTCCATTAAAAAAAAAAAGTGCTGCTTTTCTAATTCGTTATATTTTCCAATACTCATTCCTAAAATGTCATGAAGTGGTAGGTAAAAGCAAAGTACTGGAAGATAATCACATTATGTCACATTTGGTCTTAATATAAGACATCAGAACACATCTTTAACAACAGTGAGTCCTCCCTTAGTTTGATTCTTTGCGTCCTTCAGAAGAATCAAAGCCTGCTTCAGTTTAAAAATCAGATGAAATGTGAATAGAAAGGTTTTTTGGTTCTGAAGACCTGATCATCACTCCTGGTTTCTTTGCCTGAGTGTGTTAGTGTCCAGAGGTAATCCAGTACTGCGAAATTTGTATAATAGTACATGACCTCTTGTGCTTTTTGCTAGAGTCTGCAAAGTTTAAATGTTAGTGACAGAACATAGACTAGCTTCTCAATGTGATATTTTTGTTTCATTTTGAAAAAACATCAGTGAATGCTTTAAGAAAGATTAAGAAGGAAGTAACTCCAAGATCCTGAAAATGGTTCTTGTATTGCCAGAAGAATTTCAGTGCTTTTTAGTAAAACACTTGCATATAATACCTTAAATCTCATCATGTGTGTGCACCAGGAAAAAACTTCAAGCTTGTGGAGATCCCCATGGGAAATACTGGGGAAAGAATATAAATAGAATATAAAAAAACAAAACGCCATTAAGTTTGCATATCTGATGTCAAAATGCTGAGGTAATATTAACTGCTTAAAAAAAACCCACCCATTTTTGCTTTCAGTTATTGCTGAAAAAGACAGTAATACTGTTTGAGTTACCTTACTATACCAAAAGTTCAAGAGATTATTTCATGAACATTTACTATTGGTGAGGCATAATGTTCAAAGCAAGTGAAAGAAAGTAGGTAAATGGAAAAATATAAAACTACAGTTATGGTTGTTATCCTTAAGATCTTGAGTGAGGGACATAGTCCAACCCCAGTGGGGTTTATTACTTCAGCATTTTCATGGTGCCTCTTAGTGAATTTTTTAAAGCTAATGGTTACCACCCACTCAGATTCTATTTCCAGGTGAATCCTTAAAAATAAAATTCACAAGTTCTTAATAAATAGTTGCAGTTCCTCCTGAAGATGCTGGGTAAAGTGCAGAGAGAAGCACCACAGAAACCCTCTTGCTGGCCGGTATGGCTTGGCTAAATTCGGATTTGATAGCCCACTTCATTCAGAGTGCTTAGATCAGCCACCTTCTTTTCAGGCAGTGCAGGCCTAAGGGTAAAAGACAGAAATAGGTGGAGGAGAGAGGATGGGACAAAGAAAGATAACTGAGCATTTTCAAGGGCCTCTATTCGGTTTTCCTAATCCTTCTGATACTTGCCTCATCCTCCCATTCCCCCAACCTGCTAGTCTTAGCTCACAACTCTACTTCTTGTTCTTAAGTCCACCTCTAAAGGTTTTAAGGAACATTTTAACAGACTTTCAGTGTAGAGTTCAGGAGAGTTTTCAGAGTGTTGAATGAGCTTTTGCAGCTTTAAGCCTGAATTTGGTCACACTAAAACTTTTGAAACCCAATACCCTTGAACCTTGCAAGGATCTAAAAGTCACATACACTACAGTAGAGCCAACAATCGGAGTCGAATTCTCCTTGAAACATTGGCTTCCTAGTGTATGTGCCCTGGAGAAAGCCAAGGAATCAAAGACGACTCACATTCCCAGGGAGAGGGTTAATGTTCCAGGCTTAAATGTATAAAATCAAGGTGAATCTTAGGATTCATCTGAAAAAGCATGTCAGTGTGGAAACACTCAGTGGTGAAACATCTGTTCCCAAAAAACATGCTAAAGTCACTTCCAACATAAAACTACAACTAAGCAATTATGCAAAGTCAGGTGAGAAAGTACTTCAAGCTGGGAAATACAACATTCAGTAGCACATCATCTGTCTTCATTAAAGATGCATCCTAAATGACTTCCAAAATACAACTATGCCTAAACAATCTCACAATGTGTCTTACAACTTTTCCATTTCTTAATGAGCCTCTTCTCACCTTGGATAAGAGAGAACTGAGATGAATCAAGATTAGGATGTTCAGTATGGCTAGTGAGTTCTAATTCAAAAGTTTCACATCCATTTTTGCAAGAAAAAGACATGTTTAGGTTACACATGAACGTCGGTTTTTGTTTTTGTTTTTTTGAGACGGAGTTTTGCCCTTGTTGCCCAGGCTGGAGTGCAGTGGAACAATCTTGGCTCACTGCAACCTCTGCCTCCCCGGTTCAAGCGATTCTGCTGCCTCAGCCTCCCGAGTAGCTGGGATTACAGGCACATGCCACCACACCTGGCCAATTTTGTATTTTTGGTAGACACTGGGTTTCACCATGTTGGTCAGGCTGGTCTCGAACTCCTGACCTCAGGTGATCTCCCCGCCTCGGCCTGCCACAATGCTGGGATTACAGGCATGAGCCACTGCACCCTGCCAAACCTTGTTCTTAAGTATTTAAAAAAAAAAAACAGACCAAAAAGAAAACGTAATTGTTAGAAGCTTTCTTAGTTGATGCCCTTGGAAGATTTCCTAACAGCTAATGGTTTTTCCCTGG